GAAAAATTTCCGGGATTTTGTCATCAAAAAGGAGAATAGAGAGGAAGTTAAGGGGTTAGACCATCCTTGTGGTTTTGAAAAAATCGAGTATTTCCGTTTTTGCTTGAATTGATAGTGTATGCTTTGAAAAATTTCAATGGTTTTATGTCGTCGAAAAGGAGAACAAACGAATAGAGAGAAAATTAAGGGGTTAGACCACCTGTGAGGTTTTCAAAAAATCGCACTTTTTCTTTTTTGCTTGAATCGATAGTTTGTGCTTTGAACAATATTATTTAAATAGTTTTATTGAAAAATTTCGATGGTTTTGTGTCACTAGAACCAATTTAATGGAGTGTGTCACCCGCCATCATTCATTAAAGACGGTGTCCTCCATAAATTCTACAATTTTCATCCGTCCTAAATGGAGGTTCGGCGATGCGGCTGTAGCGCCGCCATTTTCTGAAGAAAGTAAACTAAAAACGCTTTTGTTACTAAATTACTTAAATTACTTTCAATTACGTAAATTAAAAATAGTTTTATACTTTAAGGGTAATATAATAAAGCCCTTATGAAAAGTTTCGCTTGAGTCAATTATTTTCTTTAAAAAGAATGCCGAAGTTAGGTTCCATTTTCAGGCCTCAGGGGAGGTCTAGCTCAGAGGGTGGATGTTCGCCATATCGTATCAATTTATGTCCCTTTTCTTTTCACGAATTTTATCTACGAAAAAAAAAAAATACGCGAACTTCACTATTAATTACTTAACTCTAGGACTCCTCAGAATCCATACTTCTTTTTCCACATTCTTCGTAAAAAAATTGTTTTCTGAAGAGATTTTTACAACACTTGAGTATGTTATAATTTGCAGAAAACCTAGCACACGTTTTTGCGTTGAATACATTTTCAGTTACATACACTACCGGCCAATAGTTTGGAATCACCGAGCATTTCAATTTACAGAAAAATTTCCAGAAAAAAGTCAGCGACTTTGAGAACTTTTTATCGTTCGAATCAATTGATATGAGATAAATTGATAAATGTAGAATTGAGATAAACTTCAAATCTATAAAGAATTAGCAGCAGATTTAATATTGACGAAAAGTGGGAGGTGATTCCAAACTTTTGGCCGGTAGTGTACATGCATTTATAGAATAAAATAGTATTGTATAATAGCGTGCTACCATGAAAATAGTCTGAACATAATTCTTCTGATGTCAAACACGAAATACAGTAGTGCACACATAAGCGTCCGCATTTTTGCACACTTAAGCGTCTGTCTCTATCCCCAATTCTTGGAAATGGAACTTTGGAGTGGAGTTCGAGCGTGCCGAATGAAACAAAGTATTCGACATCGACTCCTGAATGTGAAAAACTCACACTTGATATATCGGTATCCCACTCAGACACATCTCCTTTCTTTCGTTTAGTTAAACTCGCAGATGTCACCTCCCCAGATAAGCATTCGGTCCCGACTGCGGACGCTTATGTGTGCACTACTGTACCATGTTCACCAATGCTTCATTGTAACCGACTGATATGCTACATCGTTCCTTTCGGGTTACAGTTAGTTCAATCCTTCATTCTACCTTCGTTTGCCATTCTTTAAAGATAAGAAGAGCGGAAGAGTTGGTTTGGCCGCCGCTATCTTTTCTTTTGCCTATGCACAGTACTTTTCACACATAGCAACGATGATTCTAC